TCTTACTCTTCTGTATCTGTTTTTGTATACTAGAAATGAAGTGCATACTCTCACTCAGGCTTGGCAACCACTCTACCACTGAGTTATATCCTCCAGCCCTCATTTACTTTTTGTTTGGAGACAAAAAGTTGCCCAGGTTGGTCTTGAATTTATTCTGTAGCTCTGAAAGGCTTTGAACTTTTGTTCCTCTGTCTCAGACTCTAAAGTACTTAAGATTATGAGCCTGAGCCATTATGACTTTCTGTTTTGTTTTGTTTTGTTTGTTTTTTGTTTTTTGAGACAGGGTTTCTCTGTGTAGCTTTGCACCTTTTCCTGGAACTCACTCTGTAGCCCAGGCTGACCTCGAACTCACAGAGATCCGCCTGGCTCTGCCTCCCGAGTGCTGGGATTAAAGGCGTGCGCCACCACCGCCGGGCTGGCTTTCTGTTTTTTTAAATGAAGTAAAGTTGGAGTTTATTCATAAAAGATTTACTTACTTATCCATTTACTTATTCATGGTTCTAGAAAAGGTATTAATGTATCCCCAAAATATTGAGAGACATAAGGATATGGAAATGGAGATGGATAGTATATTGTCAGGGATAGGGTGCAAATGAGGAAAAAGATACAGGGAAATTGAGGGATAACATGCATATGCCAAAAAGAAGGTCAAGGGCTAAACTTCCACCCATTTGTTCTTTCACTCTTCCAGGGATCTACGATCATTAAATATAGATAACCTTGCTTCCATGTTGTGACCTTGGAACTTTTCTGAAAAATTCTGTTTTCATTATTACTTCCAACGGAAATAATTGAGTACACTTCAAACCCAATTATCCTTTGATTTAATTACATTTTGATCACTTCCTGTTAGTTATTATGCGGCATTGTGTTATTCATTAAGCCGGGCAGTTCACTGTGCAAGAAAAGTCATGAGGCACAACAAAACACTCTTATTAGGGGAAGGGAACAAAAGCTTAGGCTTGTGAGAAATGGTCGTGGAGAGGGAGAGGGGGAGGGGGAGGGGGAGGGGGAGGGGGAGGGGAGAGGGGAGAGGGGAGAGGGGAGAGGGGAGGAGAGGGGAGAGGGGAGAGGGGAGAGGGGAGAGGGGAGAGGGGAGGAGAGGGGAGAGGGGAGAGGGGAGGAGAGGGGAGAGGGGAGAGGGGAGGAGAGGGGAGAGGGGAGAGGGGAGAGGGGAGAGGGGAGAGGGGAGAGGGGAGAGGGGAGAGGGGAGAGGGGAGAGGGGAGAGGGGAGAGGGGAGAGGGGAGAGGGGAGAGGGGTCTGTGACCCGCTTTTTATGGATTCCCCTGCACATGCGCATATGGGCTTACATAGCTATGCCACGCATGTGCATAGATTACGTGATGATACTGAGCACAAATTAGTGACCATGCAGCGCACGTATTACGTAGGATGAAAGGTCTCGAAGTCACTAAGCATCTTGCCTGGCTACTGGACAGCGCATGTGCGGTCATGTAGCTAGGGGAGTGGCCAGGAATTCCAACACTTCCTATGATGTTTTGATTCATTCTGTAAACCTACTTTTACAAAACATTTTCCCCAATCTGATAGGATTCCAAAGCAAATCAGCAATTTCGTATTGCTAGCAGCCTTTTGTGCCATGTTGAGGAGTTTGAACTTCATCCTGTAGGTCAGCATGATACTTAGAGAAACTCTAAATGTCCCATGAAATTTTAATAGATATTGTTTGAAATAAGGGTTCTATCTCCAGATAAGTTTATGGGATGCTGAATACTCCCTTTTGGAAAATCATAATGTACAGACTCGCTCTTCCAACTCCACCTGCCCCCATGATCTGCCTGAAGACTGGGTGTCATGCCCCTGTTCTCTGGATCCCACATTAGTGCATGTATCTCTCACCCCTCATCAGTGAAGCTTCTTTTTGCAGTAGATGGTGATTAACATAGAGACTCACAACTGGGCAAGATTCAGAGAGTAAGAGACTCCAGAGTGCTCGGCTCTAAATGGGCCATGTATATGCAGCCCCGCACTACACCCTAAGGTTCAGAGGTCATTGTGGAAGAGGAGGCAGAAATTGCAAGAGCCATGGGGGGTGGATGTCTACAGGGAATCAATGTTTTTGTACACAGGGGAGTTACACATATGAACTCACAGCAATTCTGACAGCATGCATAAGACCTGCATACACGTAAGCCAGACAAAACCCCAGCATGGAGGTGGGAGGTGGGCGTGAAGTCCCACCTCTAGCTGAGGAGCTATTGGTAATTGACATCTGTCAAGAAAAGAAGAGCTGTCTTTCTTTAAGGGCATGGTGCCTGGTAGGTTTAACATGCTCCAATGGATGGCCACACACCCAAGAATATATTGGAAGTGCTTATGGGACTTGATGGTTTAAAGCAATGAGGACACAAAATCGGTGGGTATGGAATGGGGGGGTAGATCTTGGAGGATATGGGGGAAGGGATGAATATGAGCAAAACATAATGCATGAAATTCTCAACAAATTAATAAAACATCTTTTAAAAGAAAATTACAATGTCCGTTAATGTTCTGAGTTTTAGAACTAAAGTCTAAAGACTTTAAAAACACTTCAGTAAGTACATCTATCGACTCTAGCACCTCCTACACTCATTTTTACTATTATCTTCTATGCAGTAATTATTAGCACCTAAGCATATTAGTGGTACCTGGAGCATAAGTTAGAATATATTGGTAGGGCCATTGTAGAAGCAAGAAATGATTTTAAGTAGCGGGTGACTAATCAGATTTAAGATTCAGCAAGGTAGTCTGATGGAAGGGGTGATTAGAGGAGATTTTACTAGAAGGAGTAACAATAGTCAATGAATTTTGGTAAGGTCTTAGACTGGTTTATGGTAGTAGAGGAGAGGAGGGGCTTGTTGGATTAACAAAACGTAATAAATTTGATATGACTTTGGGATACAATGGGAATTGGGAGGAAGAAGATGACTCGCTTGGGATAGGGATAAGAGGAAGATGTTTGTTAGAGACTGGTAAATTGGATCCATTTGGCTATTGCTTATGAGGGAAGTTTGGGTTAGAAATAGACCCAAAATTATGTAAAATAGGAGAAGGCCTAACAGTTAAGAGTCAAGCAAAGGCAAAAAGGAAAGAAGTCTAAATGGGCCTTGAACTTTGGGTTATTTGGTGAATTTTTAAATGTCTTATTTATTTATTTATTTATTTATTTATTTATTTATTTATTTATTTATTTATGGTTTTTTGAGACAGGGTTTTTCTGTATAGCTTTGGAGCCTGTCCTAGAACTTGCTCTGTAGACCAGGCTGGCCTTGAACTCACAGAGATCTGCCTGGCTCTGCCTCTCCAGTGCTGGAATTGAAGGCATATATATGTATGTACCTTTGTGTGTGTGAGTGAAGTGCCTGAGGAGGCCAGAAGAGGGCGTTTGATTCCCTGGAGCTGGAGTTACCAACGGTTGTAGAATTGCCCAATGTGGGTGATGGGAACCAAATTTGGGTTCCTTTCTCTGCAAGAGCAATATGTACTCTTAACCACTGAGCTATCTCTCCATCTCCTCAAAATGTCTCTTATTTTCTGAAGTAAGAGACACCTTTTTTTTTTTTTTGGTTTTTCGAGACAGGGTTTCTCTGTGTAGCGTTGCGCCTTTCCTGGAACTCACTTGGTAGTCCAGGCTGGCCTCGAACTCACAGAGATCTGCCTGGCTCTGCCTCCCGAGTGCTGGGATTAAAGGCGTGTGCCACCACCGCCCGGCAACACCTTTGTTTTTATTTACTCTTTTACAGAATTCAGGAGCTTGAGATGGTAGCATGAAACACAGATATCCATGTTCCCATATATTCATTGAGCATGTTCTAGGCCCTAGGTTCCATTCCCAGCACCTCATAAACCAGGCATGGTGGCACACTCATGTAATCCCAGCACTTAGGAGATAGAGGCAAGAGGATAAGAAGTTCAAGGTCATCCTCTGATACCTTAAAAGTTTGAGGGCAGCCTGGGCTACACAAGACACCATTTCAAACAAACAATCAAAACCAAGAAAAAGAAAATATTCAGAGTACAGCTTTTAGGGAAAAAAACCCCTATAGATAGGATTTTGTAAGGATTAAGATAGCCAAGGATCCTTTCAAGGAAAATAAATGTGAAATGCTTATGCCACCTGAGAACTGACCTCAAGTAAGACACCTTCTATCTATCTATCTAAAATCATGCTTGGCAGTGGTGTGGAAGTAAGCCTTTGTGTTTGAGGACAGAAGATAATTTAAAAAATTGTACATGAATATTTGTAATAGCACTATTCATGGTAGCTGAATAGTGGGGGGAAAAATAGATGTCCTTCCAATAAAGACTGGATCAACAAAATGCTGTTTATCCGCAGTAGGTTCTTTTTCAGCCACAAAGAATGGAACACTGCTACATATTATAATATAGAGGAACCTTGAAAACATGCTGAAAGAAAGAAGCCAATCATGAAATAACATGTGCTATTTTGTTCCATTTCTATGAAATGTGCACACCGGCAAAGCCTTCGAGACAAGGTAAATCAGTGGTTGCCAGGCGCTGAGGCTGCAGACAGTGACTGCCGATGTGTACTTGGCTTCTAGCAGTGCTCGAAAGAACTCCCAAAGGAGCTTGTAGTGGTCATTGTACAGCTCTTTGAAAACACTGAACATTGCTGGATTTTGCACTTCAAACTGACTAAATTTATGGTATGCAAAGTACACATTAATTTAAATTTTTTATTAAGATTTTTAAAAATTGGAGTGGTGACGGCCTGGTCATCATTTGAGTCCTTCAGGATCTAAGATTTCAGGTTCAGAAAGGGCCTGAGACTAGAGGGGCTTCAGGATGCTCCCCTCTGAAGAATGTTTGGGTGGAGCTCCTCGGGACAGCTCCTGTGAGGGAGTGGCCAGGGGCAGTCTTATGGTCAGAAAGGAGCTCTTAATGTCTCCTCTCTGACCATGCACATGGCCTCCTTCATCTTCCTTTCCCAGGACTCTCCAAAGCAGGTGCTTCGGTGCTCTCAAGTGGAGTCTCTTCATCACACGAAAAGCAGCTTCTGGGTGTCGGAGCAGCCATTCTGGACCTTATGCTGGTCGAACAGCTTGTATAGGGCATCCATGTAGAGTGCATGGTATTTGTCCACCATCTCTGGGCTTGGGTTTTCAACCCGGGGCAGGGGCAAAGGCTCCCCGACTGTCAAAACAGATTGAAAAAAGAGAAGAGTCAAAGTGCCAGAATCCTCACTTCTTCTCCCCTCCTCTCTTTTCCAGGGCCAGATACTCTGGCCACTCCAGTCAGCTCTCAGCTTCTCCCACTCTGCTGCCCTCTTATTTGGTGGAGGAGGGTAAGATGCAGCGAGATAGATGGGAGAAAGAGTGTAGATGGCCCCGAGGCTGAGAGCAGCACTCACCTACAGTAACAATGGGTCTGTGGTACGGTAGGAGTCCCAAGGAGCCTTGATGGAAGCCTTGTCCATAGAAGATACAGAAATAGAAACCAAAGATCCGGCGGAAGCAGCTTTGGAACTTGTATATCCAGCTGTCCTCATGGAACAGCACCTGGTCATATACCTCAGTTTCTCCAAAGGTGAAGGTAGGGACCAGATGAGCCCTGTAGGAAAATCCTCATTTCTCAGACACAGGCTATCATGAGAACTACGCTAGACTTTAGTTCAAGGCCATGCACTCTTCCATTAAGATACACTACTAGAGGCCTAGAACATTCTTTTTGCACTTCACAGTGTTCCCTATTTAGTATGTCTTGTCTTGAAAATTTCTAGGCCGATGAGAGTGTTATCTCTAGCCTAGATTATAAGGGCAAGACACAGAGATAAAGACAGGAAAGAAGCGCTTGGAAGAGACACTCAGCCACATGGCGCAAAGCTTCCAGCGAGTGTCAAGGATGAAACATCTAAGTTTCTGTTAGAGAAATCACAAGATGTGGGTAATGTGTATAGATGCACATATTTGAAATGCCCCTCCCTGAAGGAGACCAAGCATAAGGTACTCTGTCCTTGGCTCATGGGATTCCAGCAGAGAACATTATTTCTTTTTTAAAGGGCACAAGAACCCACCATGAACAGTGAGTGCTCTAGGGAAAGCTATCAGGCTCCTTACAGCCTTTAAATGAGAAAAAAGAGAACACAGAACTTTGGTATGTGTTACCTGATTGGTTCCTCCTAATAGCGAGGACATGAGCCCAGGTCCAGAAAAGGCAAAGTCCTTCAGGCAGCCAGAGAGTAGCAGGTCCTAGACTAGAACCCAGGTCTCCTGGCTCCAACTCAGAGCTCTCCCTGTATATTATACACCAGACTGATAGGCCCCTCAGATGAGGTCATTTGAAGACAGGTTCATGTCCTCCCTGAGTGTGCAATAGGATAATTGCCTGTGTCCAGTGAGCTAGACTACTGAACTGCTAGGCTCCCTGTTACTCCAGACACCAGCTTTTTTCCCCTTCATTTCCCAAGACAGTGCACCTAACATTAATCAATCACCCATTGTGTTTAAGGTACGTGGTAGGTATTTTATATGAGTGAATTAATTAATAACTCATTGGACCTGGTGGCTTAGATCTATAATTGAAGCTACTCAGGAAGCTGAGGCAGGGGGATCATAAGTTAAAGCCCAGTCACCCCATGCAGGAGGAACAATGATCAGTAGCCATGTTAGCAAGATGAAAATCCCAAAGTTCAGAATGATGTCCCAATATGCATGGTAAGTCATACAGCCAGGGATGATGACGATGATGAGGATAGTTATTATTATTATTATCTGGTGCTGGGATGGAACCCAGAGTCTCATGCATGTTAGGCAGTTGCTCTATCACGGAACTATACTTCAAGCCTTGTGGAGCCAGGATTTCAAATCAGGCTCCAGACTCCATCTCTTCACACAGACTCATTGTTCTGCAGTGTGCCTTGCACTCATTATCAACAGACAAATGTGGATTATAACTACTAGTCACAGAGAAATGTGGACGTGATTAACATGCTAGCCTGAGCCTAACTGCCTTGGACATTGTACCAGTGTTCATGGTCTGACTTTCTGGGAACTGGTGCAGCTCACTGAGAGGAAGCAGATGGCCTAAAGCTTTAAAAAGAATTCTACACCCATCTCTCCTACTCAGTCATAAGTTCCTAGGGGGCAAAACTCAAATGGTACTCGTCTTGTCACAACCTACAGGGTAATGTGCAGAGAGGGACATCTGCCCCTCCTGTTGGGGGACACCTACCCGTGTCGGAGGGCCGTACGCACAAACCCTTTGCGCTTCTGGAGGATGAGGGTGGTGGTGTTAGGCACACTCTGTAGGGCCTCTCCCACTCCTCCCACAACAATACCCACGAGGTTTCCAGTGCCATGGCTCAGCAGGTAGTCAAGGGACGGCTGGCTCACAGAACACACTCCTAGAGAGAATCAAGGCACAGAGAGGACACAGGCATCAGGAGAGGAGCAAATTCCCATAGGAGGAAAGGCTCAAGGAGATGGGACAGAAGTGTGGAGAAGAGAAGGCAATGGACAGAGAGAGCGCGTTTCACTTGAAGGCAATGTCCATAGGAAGCACTGGCTGGAAGCTGCAGCAGGGCGATTTTCAGTAGGATAAATAAAACTCTCTGAATTTCAAATCTGATTCTACTCCTTTCTTTCCATTAATAGTAATATCTATTGTTCATTGAGCACATACTCTGTATCAGGCATTACATTGAATGCTTTACTTATTTAAGATACTATACTTAAGAGAATTCTTCTTTAATCATTTCAGTGCTATTTTTCAGGTGAGGAAGCTGAGTCCACTAGAAGTTAGCTAATCTGTCTATGATCTTATAGTAAGCAACACAGCCAAGATTGAAGCCTGGGAAGGTTCACTCCAGAACGGATGCTTTGACTTCCACACTATGATTGTGGGGGCAAAGAAATGGTGCAGTGGGGGTGAAGAGGCTTAACGGGGTGCATTTTATGAAAGAACTACAGTGAAATGGACCAGAAGCTCCAGTGAGTATGATCAGAAGCACCTTTGGCCATGAGGTACTCCCTAATAAAGGGGATCTTGAAGAACCAGGACAGTGTGGCCAAGTGAGGAGTGATGCCTGGGAAGGTCTTCGAGAAGTCTGTGGACTCAGTGCAGAAGTTGCAGAAGGCGCCGAAGGTCAGGAGACCGTGGGGATGGACCCCCATGACGTAGTTCTGGGAAGGCGACAAGTCCTTTGTCTTCTGGATCTGCAACCAATGGAAACAAATGGCATCGAGGGGGGAATGAGCTCACAGGGAGCAACAAGGTGAAGACATGTCAGGAATTTGGATGTTCTCTGAAACAGCTGCCTGACAGACAAAGCACACAAGGGTTTCCAGAGGCCTGGACCTTGATCTCCACAGCCTTGGGCTGACAAGATAGGACCCAGGGCAACTGGAACTAACGAACCTCTTCTCTTGCTTGTGGCTTCAAGCAGTGTCAGTCATCTGTGTCCATGAGCTGTTTGGGCACATTATCATTTTCTTTGTGCAACGTTAGGTTGGATGTCATGGCCAGGAAGCTCTCTCTGCTCTAAACAATCAGGACTTGGGCTGGAGAGACGGCTCAGCAGTTAGGAGCACTTGCTGCACTTGCAGAGGACCTGATTTTGGGTTCCAGCACCCACGTGGTTGCTCACAACCACCTGTGAGTGCAGTTCTAGGGGATCTGGTATTCTCTTCTAGTCTCCTCAGGCACCGAATGCATGCTGTATGCATACATACATGCAAGCAAATGCTCATACACAAATAAAAATAAAAACATTTTAAAAAGCCAAACACTGACTGCTTGTCTGTCATCTACTTTAAAGATTACCCAAAGGCGCCTCAGAGCAGTCCGTTTCTGGACCTCTTCCTTGCTGTATCCTCCTTCACGTGCCCCCAGTATCTGCCTCGGAAACTTCCAGTGAACAGTGAAAGCTCTGCTGAGATACTGCCACGTCTGTGATGCATTTCTTTTCTATCCTCCATCAGAATCACTTCGTGTCTTGCACCTACTTATGCACTTACCCATTCTCCCCATCAGATGTGAGCTTCTTGCTCATGCAGAATCACATTGTAGTTACTTTTCTGAAGCCCAAACATGTGGTTAGTGGAAGATTTTGAATCATGTTTGTTAACTTGAATGATACTTTCATTCAGCCGATGTCATATGACAGGTCATGCCAAGAGTGTCCAAAATATTCCAGCAAAGTACAGATGACCATGCTGTACTCTAGCTAGAGCTGACACATTGCCAAGGTGATGAGTTTTTTATGGAGACTCTTAGTTATCTGGTACAATGCCTGTGTTTTGAGTGTTGAGAGGACACTGGAGAAGGGATACTTACTGTAATAGGGAAATAGTCCCTGATGTGGTTCCAGATAGACCAGTTCCTTACCCAGGCCGAACGCCTGCCACCTGAGACAAAAGCGCCAGGAGAGGATGATGTTAGTATTGCTACTCCATACCTCTGACTCGCCCAGGGGTTCCCTAGCAACGTGGAGGACCACATCTTTGCTACAGAGGTAGGGAAGGAAGAAATCCCAGCATGGTTCCAGCTGCCTGGCATTCGTGGCTCTGAGAACTTGGAAGAGGGGTCTGTGGCATGGTGAGTGGAACCTTCCCGCAAGCAGGGTTCTAGGCTATGGTGGAACATTCTTTTTCCTAGGTTCATGAGTCTTACCTTGATTTGGAGTCTTCCAGTCCAGGAATAACCAGACAAAGTAAAGTGTTGGTAGCAGCCACAAGGGTGTGAACAGCAAGCAAATGAACAACGGCTGCCCGATCCAAACTGAGGAGAGAGTAGGCCAGACCAAATTTGTGCTGGTCGCAGAATTCGGCCGCGCCCACACTCTGATCCTGGGCTTCAGCACAGTCTAGGTCCTGACATTTACCCTTCAGAAATTTTTCCTGTCCTCTACCATATGCAATCCCCAGTTCTCCTCCTACCTCTCATCCTGTTCCTCTGACTCCCTGGCTAGTCGCCATCCCTGTGCTTTGGCTCTGTGCCTAGAACAAGCTTTTTATCTACTGCTCATATTCAGCTATCAATTCTCCCTTCCTGTCTCCTCTCTCGCTTCCTGGCCACTATCCCAGGATCTGGGCTAGGGTCTCCCTTCCTTTGTTCTCATACTCTCCCTTGACCATTGCAGCCAACTTCTCCATCCCCATGCTGCTTCCTACCTGCCCTTCTTGTCCTCTTGTTCAGTCAACACTCCTCCACTGTCTTTCTCTCTCTCCACACTACCACTCTGCTCTCCGAGTAAAAAACTCTCTGGCTCAAACGCTGGCTAGGTAGCTTGGCATGTGGGCATGCACCTGTAATTCTAGCACTCAGAAAGCTGAGACGAGAGCATAATGAGTTAGAGACCACACTGAGTATGGACTTGTCTCATAAAACCCAACCAGTCCATCACCAAAACAAGGGCACTCAAGAGAACAAAGAAGCAAAACCTCCACAGGCCCCACTTCTCTAAGCCTAGAATGCTAACTGTTCCTCTGTGCTAGGCCGTGCTCCCAAGGCAACCCCTGTAAGCACATTTGCCCTCTAAAGGTAGTGCAGGTTAAGGAGCGGCTGGAATTAGCTGGCACAGTCATATCTATGGTGACTGTGCTTCACACTCCCGTCTTTTCTCACTGTACCCTAGGGCTTCATCTCTTCCTTTCCATTCAGAGTATAAGACTCCATGGCTCGACTCTCTAATGCTATCTAAGTCGATCAAAAGACCAAGAATGAGACTTCCCAGGATCATAAGACCGTCACCCAGGTCTGGCCCTGCCTTCTTGGGTTGCTGTGCACTCTTGGTTCAGTACTCACAGACGGCAAGGTAGCTCAAGGGCCACTGCAGAAGGCTCAAACCCTGTAAGTAATCAGGCTTCTTAGAGCAAGGCATTATGCCCAGGAGCCCGAGGGAGGTAAAGATCCCAGAGCCTGTTCCAAGGAAAGGTGCCGCCAGCCTCTGCAAGCTCACTTAATAGTGACTGCATGAGACTATGAAGAGCTGACACTTGCCCTCTCTCCTCTTTCCCCTAACTCCCACCCCCCACCCACTGCAGTAACACTGGGGACTGCCCTCACAGGTCTAGCCCCACCCACTGCCCTTTGACTCTTTCCTGTGACTATGGGGACATCAGGGTGAAGAAATGAGAGCATGACTGGCGTCAAGTCTAAGTGACAGATACCCAGAGAGGGGACAACTCTCTCACAGGCCACTCAGAGACCACAGGAGGTGTAAACTGCAAGATGTGACTGGTGGGAAGACTCTTCTGGGGGTGATAGAGTGAGGGACACCTCGAATTGAGTCTCTGTTGCCCTCAAGCAGAGTGATGCAAGACTGTCTGGCCTCACACTTTTCCTACATATACACAAAAGTAGAGACTGGAGCCCATTTTCATCTTTATATTTATTGTTAACTATTGTTTGAACCCAGGCACCAGAAAAACAAACAAAACAACAAAAACCCCAACTATTAACATTTTGGCATACTTGTTTCATCTGTCTCCTTGTGTGGGAGGAGTATTTTACAGCAACTGTGGGACGCCATTTCATCACCAAATCCTTCATTATGGGGATATAGAACGACAGATGCTTTCTTCCACAGTACCACTACCACTGTCACTCTTAACAAACGCAATAACTCTCTAACAATAGCTAATATTCAACACATAGGCAAATGTCTTTTTGGTTAGTTCTAAACAAGAGTCACGGATTATATTTGGACACTGGGGCATCTCTTTCAGCTGCACCCTTACTCTCTCTGTAAGGTAAACCCAGATACAGAAATCACTTAAATAAATGTATGCCTTGATGAGTTATTATCAAGCAGCACCTGGTAGCCACCATTAGGTGAAGACAGAACTTTTCTACTTAGCCCAGCCCCTCTCTGTGTGCCCTATTCTCGCCCCAATCCTTTCTCCTCTCCAAGTAAGCATTATCTGAAAACCTAGCGTCATCTTCTTCATGATTTTCTATGGGTCCCCTGTCCAGATGTAATCCCTTAATAACTATGATTTATTGTTGGCCATTCAAAATTTAAGATTTCTTCTTTTTAGGTTTCTAAGGGTGTTACCAAACAGTGCAGCGAGTTCCCTCTACCTTTCACCCGGCTTGCCCTCTCTGTTGCTTGAATTGTGGCTACTTTTTCACTAGTGTCCATTTTCTGTTCCAGGATCCCATTAAGAGTCCACATTCCGCCTAACCATTGTCTTTTTATCTCCGCACTTTCCCGGTCTTCCCTGGCCTGTCTTGATGTTGGCACTTTTGGAGCGTTCAAGTTCATTTTGTTTTGAGATGGAGTCTTGCTATCTAGCCCTGGCTGACCTATAAGTCTCTATGTAGGCCAGGCTGGGAGTGGGAAGAATGCAAGAAACTCCACTGCTTCCTGAATGTTGGAGTTACAAGCGTGAGAAGCATGAGCCTCAAATCTGTTTATTTTGAATTTGTGTGTGTGTGTGTGTGTGTGTGTGTGTGTGTGTGTGTGTGTGTGTGTGTGTTCAGGTCAGAAGACAACTTGTGGGAGTAGGTTCTCTCTCCCATCACGTGGACTCCTGGGATCAAGCTCAGGTCATCAGGCTTGTACTGCAAGCACTTCTGCCCACTGAACCATCATCTCACTAGCTCTCAAGTCTGTTTTAATATACAGGTCTCTCCTCCAGTTTTTTTTCTTTCCTAAGGGTTGGAATCTAGGTGGCACCTAATTACAGGCCGAACAGGGAGTGAGGTAAAGTCCTCATTCATCTCTCTGCCTCCCTTTTCTTACTTTGTACCTTTATACCCATGATAGCATGTTCCGTTGTAGTGTGTGTTGTTTTCACTTTTCCTGCCTATGTATCTAAAGGGATAAGGATCACCTTTTATTTGCCGGTGTAACTGGTGTGTGTGTGTGTGTGTGTGTGTGTGTGTGTGTGTTTTGCTGGGGACTGAACTCAGGACTTTGAGCATGCTGGGCACATGCTCAATGACTGAACTACATACCTAGTAGTGTGACAATTCTTAATGTCTGGAAAGTTCTAGGCCATGGATGTCAAGTGTGCAATCTTGAGTGGTTCGTTGTTGATTTCTGTGATCAGATGATTGCTTATGTGCAATGAGATCACTGGAATCCTATGGAGGCGTTTGTTGTGGGGACTTTAATGGGGAATAATAAGATGCACAGTAATAGATAAACCAAAGGACACATTCCACAAGGGGAGTGGGAAGAACGCAAGAGAGGAAGGCAGGTGCCGACAGACCTTTGAGGCAGTTTGGTGTTAAGGAAAGTTCCATAAGCTTTGCTTTCCCTTATCCCAGAGTTCCCTCCTCCACCTCCAGGTCTAGAAACTATCCTGGCCCCAGGGCAAGTGTTAGGTATTGCTGAATAGTTGCTCTGCTGAGGTAGTGATGCCAGCTGGGGTTCAGGACGAGGCCTCACTCCTGGCACACTTTCTTTCCGGAAGAGAATGTCCTACATCACTTTCCTACCTACACTTTCTCATCCTTGTAAATTGTTTTCTCCAGGAAGCCAGCCTCCTAGCTAAACTTTTTAATAATGTGCGAAGTCTCAGTATTCCTTTCTATTTCCTCCTGTCCCCTGGAAAAAAAGAAGTCAGGTTGTTTAGAAGATGCTTAAACTACAGAAAATTTTTATTACATTTAGTACCAGATCCCACCCCTTGCACTAGTATTTTTGTATATAAAATTTCATGGACCTCCATATGATAATAATTGTGTTTTAAATATCAGTTGAATAACATATGACACACTGAGCCTGCTGTGTGCATAGATTATGATGGTATTTGCATCTGTTTGAAACAATAGCTGTGCAAGATGCTACTTATTTATGTTAGAAAATGCTCCGTAATAATGAAGTTACTCCCTCATGCTTCAGCAGTTTGCTTCCTATAGGCTGTGAACAATGGCTTCTTGCTTCTTTTTAAATAAAAGTTTATGGGGGCTGGAGAGACGGCTCAGTGATTAAGAGCACTGGCTGCTCTTCCAGAGGACCCAGGTTTGATTCCCATCCCTCACACGGAGGCTCACAACCATCTGTAGCTCTAGTTCCAGGGGATCCGGTGCCCTCTTCTGGCCTCCATGGTTCATACATGGCGAACAGATAGACATGCAGACCAAGTACCTATACACATGAAAATAAAATAAGTAAAATTTTATTTCCTTTTTCCTGGTTATGGAAATAATCCATGTAAATCAGTCAGTTTTCAGAGGACTCAGGAAAGTACAACAGAAACAAAAGCTACATATAACCTCACCTTTCACAAGTAATCACTATTAACTGCAAACATCCTGGTGTCCATTTTTCTTGAGTATTTTTCCCTATACAAATGTGGTCATCAATATAAAATTACTGTTGAGTTTGGAATTGTGAGTCCACACATCAAGATGTATATCTGAGATCTCACTTAAGTGACTTAAGTGCTTAGTACTTCCACTTTGTCATCTGTAAAGATTAAATATTGACCCATTTATATAAATAATTCATGCAGAGTCCTTGACTCAGTGCTTTGCACATATTAAAGGTTCCATAAATGAAACAACAATGCAAAAGTTCAATGTTGGTTATTTAAAATAATTAACCAAAATAGAACCATATCCCTTATTCCATTTTGTAAACTGTTTTGCATGAAATGGTATACTGTGACATTATTTCATGTTACTATAGCATCATATATAACAATTCATTGTATGGCCAGGCCATGATTCATTCATCAAACTTCTATTGTATGTGGAGCATTATTTTTCTTAATTAATAATTAATCAGCTAATTAATTTTGAGACAAGACTCACTATGTGGTCCTGGTTGTCCTGGCACTTGTTATGTAGACCCCCCTCTAATTTACAGAGATTTGTCTGCCTCTGCCTTCTGTGTGCTGTGACTAAAGGCTTGAACCACAAAACCTGGTTTATTTATTTTTGTTTCATTTTTAAAATTCTCTTCTGTTTAATTATGTGGCTGCGCATGTATTTGTGTGTGGGCATGTGAGCATGGATCCACTGGAGCTGGAGTTGCTGTCAGTTGTGAGTGAACTGCTTGATTTGGGTCCTGGGAACTGAACGTGGGTCCTCTGGAAGAGCTGAACTAGCTCTTAACCTCTGAATCATCCCTCCAGCCCCTTTTGTTTCATTTTTAGACAATATCTCACATAGCCCAGGCTGACCTTGAACTCATCCTGGTTCTGTAGCCTTCACTCCTGGCTGCTGAAGTCACAGGTGTGGGCTACCATGCCCACTCAGAATCACTAGCTTTTAGTTAAGTACCTTCTGAACTCTAGTCAGGTTTCTGGGTCCTTTATTGGTAAGTGAAAGGTTCCTTGCTGATCAGCATTGCCTCCTTTATGATGGTCAGTGTCCTCTCCCCAGTGAACTTTAGGAGTTTAAGCATTGTGCAGGAGTCAGATGCTTTCCTAGGCCTCCATTGACATGTGTAGGTACAGCATAGGCATAGGCATAGGCATAGGGAGCTAGGCTGCATCGCCTTGTAAGGAGAACTCTGGGCCTGAGGAGAGACCATGATCCTCTTCTACAAACAGGTGGGCAAGTAGATTCTCTCTCTCTCTCTCTCTCTCTCTCTCTCTCTCTCTCTCTCTCTCTCTCTCTCTCTCTCTCTCCCTCCCTCCCTCCCTCCCTCCCTCCCTCCCTCCCTCCCTCCCTCTCTCTCTCTCTCTCTCTCTCTCTCTCTGACACACACACACACACACACACACACACACACACACACACACACACACATCCCTCTTACCTTCTAATCCTACTATACCTGGTAATGTTGCTTTTTAGATTCACCTAAAAATAATTAAATGCTAGCCAGGCCCACTGGGATGTGAAACATGGAAAAATAGGATTTTTAAGCAATGGATCATTTAGGTCAGTCTGTACTCAGAATAGACTTGAGTAAGATAT